GGTTGTATGCATGCATGTTTGCATGGTGGGACGGATGGTTGTATGCATGCATGTTTGCATGTTGGGATATATGGAGGAAGGAAGGGCACAGCTGGCCTTGACCCAGGTGCTGCAGTGGACCCTCTCCTCCACCTCTCCACTCTACAATCTCCCCACCTCACCGTGGCTCTTAGGCCCCCTGTGCCTTTCCATTCTCTCCATTCTACTTTGTCAAATGGGCTTTCTGGGTCTGCTCAGGGAGCCCCTTGCCTAAGCAGAGAGTGTATGTATGTGTGTTTGTATGCATGCATATGTATGTATGCCTCCCCATACAGCAGGGAGGTGCCGCACACAGGGAGTCCGTTCAGACAGTGCAGGAGAGCAGGCTAGAGGAAGGAAGGGTCACACAAGGACAGAGCTTGAGGGTGCAGGATCCCCGGGGAAAACGCATCCACACTAGGCAGGAACAGATAAGGGCTGACTACATGTACTCCCTAAGGTGCAGGCTTGTTAACACGCCATGTTAGGCCCTGCAGGGCCGATCCAACTTTCCCGACAAATTCCCCCAAGAGCAAAGAACTATGGGCCTGGGGCACAGCTGAATGTGGCCTAAAAATGACTCCTGATGTCTTTGCTATATCTCAAAATGTCTTGTAAAGTATGTATCCACTTCAAAATGTATTCGTGCTTTTATTTATTTTTAAAATATTTTAAATCACGAAATATGTTATGCATACAAAAAGAGTGAATATAACTATAGGTAGAGTTTAAAGACAAAGAATAACATAAACGGTCCTGCACCGGCCACCCAGCTTCAGGACAGAACACTAATGACAGCTTGTCCCCCTCCCCACGGGGCTCCTTCCCACTCCCCTCTCCTCCCCCTCAGAGGTCATTTCTCTTCTGAATGCTGTGGTGCTAGTGCTGCTCTTTCAAGTTTTACTACATACAAAAGAATCCTTAAACAATTCGTGGTTAATTTTGTCTGTTTCTAAACACTTCACGGCTAGGATTATTCTGTATGTGGTCTTTTGGGATTTGCTTTTTAGTGCAACATTATTTTTTGGAGTTCCACCCAGGTCCTTGCGCTTAGTTGAGTCATTGTCATGGCTGCATGGAGTTGCACAGAGCGCAACAGCACCGTGGCACTGAACACTTGGTTAGTTTTTGGTGCTTTGCTATCCTGCTGGTGACAGCCTCACAGGGACCTTTTGGTGCACATGGCTAAGAGAATCACCAGGGTATTTGCTTAAATGTGGAATTGCTGGGTCGTAGAGTATGCACACGTTGGTTTTACTGATAATGCCAAACCATCCAAACCATCTTCCCAATTTGTATCAATTTCCAATTTACACTCCAGCAGTGACGGGATTTCCACCAACCTTTGCCCTTTGGTTTTTGCCAATCTGGTGGGCATGAAATGGTATTTTCACTGTAGTTTTTTGTGTTTGTTTATCCTAAAAACCATGCTTCTCCCTCCAACCAGATCACATCATGCTTCTGCCCTGACCATCTGTGAGTTCATCTCATTCTGGTGACATCCAAAGCACTGACCACAGCTGAGAATGCCACAGTCTGTCCCCAAGGCCCCACCTCCTCAGCTCATCCCTTCCATGTCCCTCACTCTGCTCCAGTCACTCTGGCCTCAGACACACAAGTCCACCCCAGTGCCTTTGCACTTGCTGTCTCCTGGCCTGGAATGACCTTCCCCTGTCTGTGTGATTCCCCCCTTTGCCTCCTTTGAGACTCTGCTTAACGTCACCTCCTCAGAGCAGCCACCGCCCTTCACCACCTTATCAAACGTGACCCCTGCTGTGTCCTCCGTCCTTCTCACTTGGCTTCGTTTTCCTTATAACACTTCATTGTTCTTTGTCGGCTGCACATACAAGCATTATACTCACATGTTATGTGACCACCTTTTTTTAAAAAAAAAATTAATTAATTATTTTTTTTTCCTTTTTGTCTTTTTTACTGACCGGTACGGGATCGCAACCCTCGGTGTCGCGCCCGCGCCGCGCTCAGCCAGCGCGCGGGAACCGGTCACCACATGGGATCTGAACCCTCGGCGGGAGTGCCGCCGCGCTCCCAAGCGGCGCACTCTCCAGTGCGCCACCGGGCCAGCCCATGTGACCACCTTTTAACATCCGTTCCCCCACTGCTTCCTCGAGAGCAGGGACGTGTATCTTGGTGGGGTCCCTGCTGTGTCCTCATAGCCTAGAACACAGCTTGGCACACAGTGGGCGTGTAGCAATAATGGCTGCTTCATGAATGGTTTAAATACTCAGGTAAAACGGGCACTCCAGAAAGACATAATAATGTTATTCTGAACTGTTGCATGGCCCCTAAATACTCAACATTCAATACTCACACCTCAGGTCGAGAATTAAGAGAAACAGGCCTACTGGTGGCATTTTAAGTATCGACCCCAGCCCATGTGACAACAGGCTGGATCGCTGAAGTCCCACTTTATATGAGTGGCTGACAAGCTGCATGGGAGACAGGGAAGCCAGCCAGGCTCCCAGGATGGGCAGGGGCCTTTTGTCCCCCAGTATGTGATGGGTTTGGTGCTGGGGTTCTCGGTTCCAAGTCTGAGCCAAGTAAATGAGGGCTGGCGATAGGGGTTGGGGGGTGT